CACGTCACCGTATGAATGAGATGCATGAATTAGATTGGGATAATATAAGAATTTTAGATAGAGAACAATCTTTAGCGAAAAGAAGAATTTCGGAAATGATACATATAAAAAGACAAACAAGTGGTATCAATAAGCAAAGTGACACGGAAGGTTTGCCTGAGGTTTATTTTCCTCTTCTAAAAAAGGATGTCTCTTTCTGTTAATAAACAATTCTAGAACTTTCTAAAAATTTTGACTCAGATATATAAATAGTGGTAAAATATATGATAGGACAAATAACAACACATAATGTCACGACAAAATTCTAACTGTGTAAAAGAAATATTCGAGATTCATCGTTTGGTTTTTTTGCTGTAAAACAGGTAATGATTCTTTTTCTTTATATTCTGACTAGAAGATTTTAATATATACAATTTTATTTAGAATCAGGAAATTCTTGTTCTACACTTTTCTTGATATGACAATTGACCGTGTAACATTACTGCATGAAGCATCTTCACATACAAAAGAACATGTTTATTTAATTACAATTCTCGACTGTTCAATTTAATGTCAACTAGATGTAACTCTGCGTTTTAAGAATATTATTGAATTACTGAAGATTGTGGCCGAAACGTTTAATGTTTTAATGAATGTAATAATAATTAAATATCACAAACTATAACTTGTGTTGTGGTTTTTTATGCTCTTATTTTTTATATGTGTTAATATTAGAACCACGTTAGTTTCAAAATATTTTATATTAAGATTAATATTAAGAAATGTCGTCACCGGCTACGGAATGGAGGATTTGTCCTTTTGGAATTTTTGGCACAAGAAGCAAATGTGGCGCTGCCAATGCATAGTTACATCACACATGTCTATTTTCTGTGGTTAATGATAAACTAGTGTACACTTTTGGAATTAAAAGTATTCAGTATATTCCTCGTTCAATGTGTTGTTTTGTACGTTCTTCGTTCGAGAATCGTGCATCGTGTAGATTCAGTGTGGAACGGCGGAGCGCACAGTTCAATAGGCGCCATTCGCCTTTATAAGTATATCACGAGGGAAATTCGCGTGTGCTACGGATATTGCTGGCTCGCGTAACTGTCCGCGGTGGACTGTTTTTGCGCGCGAAGCGCATCAGGTAGCTTATTAGCGTAACTTAGCGAATTATATCCGGGGCGTCGCCCCCGGGCGGAGGGGGGAGGGGCCGCGGATGAGCGGATCCGGTGATCCGATCGGATCGCGAGGGGAAGGATTTCAGTTTCCTATTTCGTCCTCAATTTCCTCTCCTCAGCGCATTCACTGAACAGCGCATCGACTTGGGAAACGAGTCTGGATACTCGTAACATTAATATAATACATTGTTGGCTAGCTTGCTCAAGGAGGCGGAAGTCATGACAGGCAACATGAATCAACAGGTGGACGATTGCGATGGCTCACAGCCCATGGAAGTCGATCAGGTATCCAGGAAACGAGATCTAAAGATGACGGACGTCTCTAAACACAAAAGTAAGATTAAGTTGGTAGAATCGCGTACTTTGACGGGAGTTGCTTCTCAATCCAATGAGGTCAGTAGTGAGTCGGAAGATGCCAGCACATAAGTTGTGCAGGCCGCACCGCGCAAGGCCACGTATTTTTACATTAAGAACGATTTGGCATCCTTCGCGATATATGTCGTGATATACTCGGATAGGGACTCGACACTTCATTTTTATATTAGGTATGGGAAAAAGTTCATGGCGGTTTTTTCGTAAAATTCAAGTGTTTTTCTTAGAGTATTAAAATCAATTTATTTAAATCAAATATGCTCCATTATTTTCAATAATATTTTGTCATTTTTGGGGCAGAGCCATAATCCCATCGCGATAGAACTTCTGTGATTTCTGGTCGAAAAACTGCTTCAAGTGATTTTCACAGGCTTCTTTTGAAGCCAACTTTACACCATTAAGAGAATTCTGCAGAGATCTAAACAAATGATAGTCTGAGGGTTCTATGTCAGGATTATACGGTGGATGCATTAAGATTTCCCAATTAAGCTCTCGCAATTTTTGCCAAGTTATCAAAGATGTGTGTGGTCGAGCGTTGTCGTGATTGACGACACCCCTCCTATTGATTAATTTTGGTCGCTTCCTCTCAATTGCTTGTTGTAATCTCTCCAGTTGTTCACAGTAGAGTTCGGAATTAATTGTTTGATCGGGCGATAACAGCTCATACTGAACGATTCCCTTCCAATCCCACCACACACACAATATCACCTTCTTTGTTGTCAATCCAGGTTTTGCTTTTGCTTTCTCTCCTTCCTTTATCCACGATTTTTTGCGAGTTTGATTGTCGTACGTGATCCATTTTTCATCACCAGTTATCATTCTTTTTAGAAATAGCTCAATTTCATTCCGTTTCAGTAGCGTATCGTAAATGTTAATTCCATTAATGTTCGGTCCATCATGTTCTTAACACTCAACTCGTGAGGAACTCAAACATCGAGTTTCTTTTTGTATCCAGCTTTGTGTAAATGATTTAAAACTATTTTGTGATCGATGGCTAGTTCCCTGGCAATCTCCACAGTGCTCACATGCTTATCACGCTCGACTTTTTCTATGATTTCATCAGACTTTTCAATGATTGGTCGACCGGAGCGAGGTTCATCTTTCACATCGAAATTTCCAGTACGAAAACGAGCGAACCAGTTTTCCGTGTTGCTGATTTTGATAGAGTATCTTCACCGTAAATAGCACAAATTTTTTCATAAGCCTGTGCAGCATTCTTGCCTTTATTGTAATAATACTGCAAAATATAGCGAATTTTTTCCTTATTTATTTCCATTTTCCAAATAAAATAACTTTTAATCCACTTCACCGATTTCAATCTTTTTCGGCTCAAAACAAAGGTTGAAATGTCACTTTTTAAACGTCTAGTGTTGTCGATTAGTAGTTATCGAGTGCTGAGCTTTTAATGTCATCTAGTGGGTAAACGCCACGAACTTTTTCCCACACCCAATATCTTGTCGCGCATTGTATCAGAAATAGTGAGCAATAATATCATTCACATCAAAAGATTAGGCGGCATCAAGGCGCTTGTTGAGGTTAAGACGGCGGAAGCGGCCAATCGTATGGTCGCTAATCCCGCTTTTGAAAAGCATAAGCTCAAGGTATTTATACCATCTTTCCGCGTGCTTAGAACAGGAACAATCAAGAGGCTTGATCAATCATTATCTATCGATTGCATCAAGGAAAACATTCGCTCTCCTGCTAAAATTCTGGACATGCAACGCTTAAACCGCCGCATGATCATTAACAATCAAGCAACTTACATTCCTTCGAGAACTCTATGTATCAAATTCGCGGGACAGTCCCTTCCAAGCGAAATTGTTCTTTTCAACGCATTGTACACCATCGAGCCATACATACCTAAGGTCAGAGTATGTTATGTCTGCTAACGCGTTGGATATATAGACAAGGATTGTAAAAGCACTAAATCTATATGCCTTTACTGTGGCCAGGAGCACGACGGCGCGGATGAATGCTCAAGCAAAGGGCTGCCTCACTCATTAATTATGGCGATGAATACTTAGCCACGTCTTTTGATTATTATTCGCAGACACAAAGAAGTTATTAATTTTGCGGCACATGAAAACATCCCTTAAGTGGAAGCAAGGAAGTTAGTAGTTGTAAATAATGGTTATACCAATCACTAAGTCAAGAAGGATCTCCGCAATTTCCCACATATTTTAATGAAGCCGCAGCAAGAAAAGGAATTCCATTGGGAATTGTTTTCAAACAGATTTCATAACCTACGTGACTACGACTCAGGAGACATCAATTATTAGCATTAAAGAAGCTATGCAGACGTCGTGACATTGTCCGGGCGCTCCCCAGAATCATCAACATAGAAACTCTTCCATGGGGCGCATCCGTGTTACTCGTGGGCTAAACATAGAGCCACAGAGGCTCTCAGACAAATATTCGACTATGACACAAAGACACAACGAGCTACTCCTGGAACCCAATGGACGTCTGTGCAGCACTCGGGATAAAAAGTCATTAAAGAGCTACGAAAATGCCGGAATCTCACCTCATGAAGGACGTTTATATCCCAACCAACATTATAGCAGCAGCACAGTGGACCAGATTGTGGACATTCTCATTAATGTCAGGAATTTTTTCAACAACCAATAATTATCATCGTTTATTGACCCCATCGTCGATTTCTTACAAAGGTTGGCAGTTACTATCAAAGGTCCTAATCTCAATCTGGGTTCTATCTTTTTTCTGGATTAATTGCAAGCAATCCTTTCGATTCCGTTGGACATTCAGTATCGCACAGCCCTCTTCACTAATAACAAGAAAGCTTCACGGTCTTTCAGCATCCTGCAATGGAACTGCTGCGGGCTGCGAGACAAATTACTCCAATTGTAAGCAATATGTAAAAATTATTTATGTTCAAGAATCTCTACTTCATTCAACTTCGCTCGCTTTTCACATCATCAGAGCGGATATCATTAATCCCAGTATGAGAGGAGTGTGCAAGAAAGTAATAAGAAACAATATTGTTTTCAGCATAACCGAGAAAACATAAGAAACAACGACGTGGAGCTTATGGACATCGAGGTCACCTCGGACAACGAACAAATCCTCATTCTGAACATATATTGTCATCCTAATCGCAGAACAAGTACTCAGTTCTACTCGGATTTGATGCGATTCGGGGAATCCAAAGGGAGCATTTTTGTCGGAGATTTCAATGCTCATCACGCTGCATGGGGATGCTCCTCAACGGACAGAGCAGGGAGGTCACTACTCAACGCTGTGGAAGGCATCAATGGTTGTATTGTACATGACGAGCGGTCTACCTTGTTACTTCCGCCCAACTCGGGCATATCTGTCATAGATCTGATCATAACTACACTCAACATCGCCCCCCTCTGTGAGGTATGTACTAATGAAGATACGTTTGGCAGCGATCATTATTCGATCACTATCAGGGTCGGGAGGAGCTTGAATCCACGACAACGTTACTTATATCGCATCAACCTAGAATCTGACGAGCTGACGGCATTTCAGGACGCTCTTACAGCCTCCACAGATTCTTTTTCCAATTCACTTCCGAGAACAAGAGGAAGGCGTACAACAAGCTAACGGGTTATCTTGTAGATCTCGCTTCATCATGTTCCAACTCTAAGCGTCGAGATCCGGGCACCGTCAATCCAGTGGGCGAATTCTCCCTCCCTGTTGGACGGAGGTATGTCAACAGGCTATCATCAATCGCAGAGAAGCAACACGCCGCTGGCAAAGGGAGTCCACCCTCGAAAGCTTCCTCAATTTCAAAAAGGCAAGAGCAAAGTGCTCCAAAGTACTTTACAGAGAGAAGAAAAAAGGTTGGAGACGGTATGTGGAGTCTTTAAATTGCAAAACCCCCATCGCTGAAATTTGGTCATTAATTAAAACATTTAAACGCCACAATCTGGCTCAGGAAACGAACCATAATTATGATCCGGTAGCAGAAAAACAGGCCATGATAATAGCATTGCAAAAACTATGTCCTCCCTCTTGCTTTCAGGACATCTCCAGAAGCTTAGAAGACGAAATGAAAGAGGAAGATATTAACCGCGCCATTTCGGTCGAGGAGATTGACTTTCCTATAACCATTAGTGAACTTGACTTAGCCATCGCTCACTCGAACAAGAAATCAGCACCAGAACTAGACCGTATTAGCTTTAAGATCCTCGCTTGTCTCCCGCGCAAATTCAGGGAACTACTGATGAGCCTTTTTAATCGCTTTCTTGTGTAATTCCAGACGAGTAGAAGATCTTGCTGGTAATCTTCATTCCCAAACCGGATAATTAGGGAATGAGACCTATCTCCTTGCTCTCCTGCACTCTCAAATTCATGGAGAAAATAATTTATTGCATCTACTATGGTTAGTGGAGCATGATCCTTACTTTCTTAGGAGCAAATGGGGTTCCGTCCAGGTCGTTCATGCATTGACAGCCTGATTACATTCTGCAACAATATTCACGCGTCTTTCATTAGCAAAGAGGTAACAGTTGCCTCCTTCCTCAATATCACCGCATTTGACAACATTCATCCATCAGCGGTCTTAAACGAATTGAAAGCCGTTGGCTTTCCCTGCATCCATCAGAAAATTCATAGAAAACCTGATTACCAGCAGAACTATTCAATTCGTGAGAAACGGCGTCATTAGGGACAAAAATTTCTCATATAAGGGCACTCCATAAGGCTCCGCTCTCAGCCTCCTAATTTTCAATTTGGTGCTGAGGAGGATTGACAACTGTATTTCTGAAGCCTCTGAATTCCTTCAATATGCCGACGACATTGTGTATTCTTCTGACCACAACATTCAGGAAGCACAATCCAGAATGCAATCCACACTCGACAACATCGCAGTTATTTAAAGCTGCTGCATTAAACAAATCCGCCTCCCTCAGGAACTATATTATAAATAAATGCGAGATGTCTAATTTGCACAGGTCTTATTTCCTCCCTGTCTTTGAAAGCTAGTATTCGGCCTTCATTTTTCGCAGCAAATTCAGCGAAATAATTATAGGAGCCAAAAGCAATCAGGAAATCACGCAAGAATTCTTAGATAAACTTCCAGATATCAGTAACAATCTCTACACAGAGGGATCCAGGCTCTCGGAGGACGGCTGCGCGGGTGTTGCTACATTTTTCCTGGAGTTGTTTTAAATATAAGCTTACCATTAGCACTTCAGTGTTCACAGCGGAGGCGTGGGCAATTTTGCAGACTCTTATTCTCGCCCTGGATGCTGGATCCGCAAAGGTAGTTATTTTTTCGGATTCGCGCAGTGTGCTGGAGGCAATCAGCTCGACCAGGATTGTCAGTGGAAATAATATCATTCACAGAATTAAACAGGCCCTTAAGAGGCTAGAAAGGGAGAGTGCTCTCTTCTGGATCCCTACTCATAAAGGCATCCTGGGCAATGAGGTGGCAGATAGAATGGCCAAGGAGGCTTGCTCTTCAGGTTTTTTTAGGATCTCGTACACGGATCTCCAAGCGGAAGTGCGCGCCAACTCCATGCGTCGCTTTACTAACTATTTAAAAGAAAAGGCATCGAAAACCAGCGCACAATACGTAGATCTTTATCCCTCAACGTTGGTTAAACCATGGTAGTACAAACTAGCCATAAGCAGAAGAGAAATTGTGCTGCTAAACAGGTTGAGATCTAATCATTACAATCTAAACTACAGCCTGTGTAGAAAGAAACTGGTTGATTCATCGGAGTCCGTATGGGGACCCTATACAGGATGCCAACTACATAATTTTCTATTGTCCTCTCACTAGGGATAAATTCGGTCTGCTGTGCAGGCCTTAAGGAATCCTTTCCATTATACTCCAATAACATCTTTCCCATTCTGGAGCGTCCAACGGTTAAGCTGTGCCGTCTTTTATCTTCCTTCTTTGAGGGAATAGACATCTCAATATAGTGTGCATATTGGGGGGCGCTCGGCCCCGCTGCACTCGTTTTCGCCGGTGGTCAGTCTGCCCCTTCGGGGGTGGGCGGGCCACGGGGATGAGCTCTATTTCGCTTGTTTCAGTTTTCTCCCTTCCTTTTCTGAGGAGCCCTGTGGAAGGTCTTGGACCCCCTGTTGGAGAGGTCTTGGAAGCGACTGGCCAAGTTTATCCGATCTTTTCGGAACCCGGGCCACATAAATACAAAAAGAAGAAGATTTTGGAATTAAAGTACAGATAGTTTAGGTTAGGAAATCCATCACATCAATGGCATAGAGGAACACGTAAGTGATTTTCTGCTTCTGCAATTACACAAATTAGCTTATTCGACTTACTCGACACGTTTTTTACACGAAATAAACGAATTTGAAAAATGTATCGCTTTATCTCATGGATCGAGATATTAATCGTTAAAGTTGTTGATGATATTCAAGTTAGGAAATCTGTCACATCGATGGCATAGGAACATGAGAACATGTGATTGAAGCTAGAATAAATATTTTCTGCTTCAATTACACAAATTCTTTGCTTTAAGAACATTTTTTACTCTAAGAATACAAATTATTTTTTATATAATTTTTATTTTTATAGCAGAGTCTTGGTTAAATATTTGTCTGTAAAGCAGAAAATTCGTTTAATTCTCTATGCCATCGATGCAACAGATTTCCTAATTTGGATATTTGTTAACTTTAACAATTAATAACTCGATTTGCGGGGCAGAGCGATACATTTTTTTGTTATTTGTTCATGTAGTGTAAAAACACGTCGAATGAGTCTAATTTTATCAACCTCGAGGAGGTGAGGAGACTAAATTCAACAATTACCGAATGTTGATATCTTGTATAAACCTAATTATTTAATACGTTATAATTCGACTTTGTACGTATATTATTATATAACTTGTATTTTCAGGATTTATTAACACGTTTTCGGCATCACAATTCAACTGTGAGACAAGATGCTTTGAAACAATTAAAAAACATCTTTTTATAAAATCCTTTATATTCACAATTGAATTCTCTGTTACATGGTGTCGCAGCTTTATCTCTTGATAAAGAGAAAAAAATACGCACAAATTAATTTTATTTAATGCACTTAATTTTATTCTTGGCCTTATCTCAAATGAACAGTTGACATCTTTGCGTGTAATTATATAATATCGTATCTGAGCTGTTCAATGACACATATTGATCCACGTGTGAAAGAAGATTCTTTACTTTCCTTAGATTGTACAAAATTGTAATAGTGCATAGAAGTCGATAGAAGTAGATAGTCATAAAATATTAATTTTTTGGGTATGATATGCTGGTTATAAAAGTAGCACAATTAATGTGCTGTGGCACAATTAATGACAACATTACATTCCAAAAATACTAATGTAAATTTGTTAACTACAGGAAACTTTGTATAGGTATACCATCGATTATGCTTCCGTTTGAGAAAATGAAAAAATATATCCCAGTTTATAGCGATAGTGCGACTTAATTTTATGAAATTAATCTTGACAAAGATATGCTCTGATAAATAATCGTAAGAAAGAAACCTTATTTATAGAAGAATTTGTAAAATATATAAATTTATTGATGTCACTAATGTCTGATATTTGGCTCGAAGTATGTCCAGATGAGAAAGTTGAGAGTAACACAGAGATTTTGAGCAAATTGTAATTATGCAATCAATTGTGAATTGTGAATATGTTGATCAGGATGATTATAGCGTCAAACGTATGAAGCGTTGGTTTAAAGATATATTTCATGATGCATATATGAAAAATTTCCTATCAAGGTTTCCTTATGGTAAAGTAAAACCTCTTATTAATGAATCCAGAAAACGTCAAAAAGATTTTTCTCAAATGGAATTTACGGAAGGATGTTTGGAACAAAATTTGGGACTGTCAAATTCACGTATAGTTTATATCTCTGTTTAACTGCAACGAACAATTTCCCAAGTCTGTCAGGAACTATTGCATATCCATTCTGAAGTATTTAAATGATAAATTATTATTATGTAATAAACAAGTAATATTATTGTATTATGTATGAGGCATTTTTCCGAACTTTTCTTATTTTCATGTATTATTGAAGATTGGTGCGACTCGTCGACTTTACCTCAACTAACTAAACTACTAAAAACTTTATTTTTGAAAGCTGGACCAGTTTGGTATAGCAACTGTATTAATTTGAATCATATTTTAAGACTAATTATTGAAGCATCTTCTCGTTTGTTTAAGAAAGAATTACAATCGCATTTGTATTTAATTATTGGTGACTTTATGTTGAACAGCAATTTAAATAAGTTGTACAACTAATTGTTTTAAATAAAAAGTAAAAAGTAGATAATTTAAACAGTAGATAATTTAAACAGTAGATAATTTAAACAATATACTGTACACAGTATACAGATACTGTAAACAGTAGATAATTTATTAGGTGTTGGAATTAATTTTTTAATGAAAGAATGTTATTTATTTCACATGAGAATTAAAAAATACATTAATGAAAGTACTTCCCATCACTTGTAAAACGCTACGAATTAATTCCAACACCTAATAATTTTTGTAGAGCATTTAAGAATATGTGAGATAACGTATAATTAACTTAGTAGGCAGTCGCTAATTATTATTATTTGTTTCGTTTGACAGTGAAAAAATATTTGAAAGCTTTGTTACGATCTTACCCCTATTCCTGAAGTCTATTCCTGAAACCGAACATAGATGACATCGTAATTCATATGATCAATCAAATAGTTTTACGTTTTAAGGAATCCGAGAAAAATTGATCTATAATAAATATGAGTTTATTATCAGTAAGTTATATGTCTTTGAATGAATTGTGATATAATAATTTCATTTAAGAGGAATTTTAATCATTTAGATTGGAATAGGAAGATCCTTCAATAAGATATACGTATATTTAAATTTCATTTCATAAAAGTTAACGATAGTACGATTTGGATTAAGTAAATAATAATCTCTATTATAATATACTCGGTAAGTCGGATTGCCTATCTGCCTATGGGCAGAAGCTGCATTATTAGTAATGTAGAATATGATTATATCGCAAGTCCGGCGGGGAATGAGACAAGAGAAATTAAATTTTATTCTGATATAGTGTAAAATTTAATTCTTGATTATCTAATCTTGATTATAATCAGAAATAACTCCATTAACTGTTGAAAGTTGGTCACGTTCAGCAAACTCAATTGTT